GTTCATAACATGCGATGAGCATCAAGTCGTAGTGCTCGGACTAAGCCACTCTTCCTATGCCTGGTTTCCGTTCTTCAGCCATCGTTAAATCAAAACAGCTTTAAAAACCTACCACCTCTAACCTTAAAATCTCGTACTAGTTGGCCTCATCCGCCATTACATGCATGAAGATAGCTGCCTAGTGGTTTCGCATCCATCTTTTAATTTTTTTTGGTCACAACAGATGTCCGCAACATGAGCATCCATCGTCTGGCTGTATGGAATGCATCACATCCGAATGAGAGCATTAAATTTCGTTGTGAAGGCTTCGTTTCCCTCCTAGATGCCCAAAATGTGACCTTAAGGTAAGAGAAAATGTTATCAAGGCATGTGAGGGAAGCTTTGGTTTCTTCAGATCTTGGAAGAGCATAGACATGCCCTGAGGTGTATCTTCAGTGGATAAAAGTTTATGCTCAATTTTCGACATCAAGAGAGGTTATAGGCGTTTAATTTCCCAAAACTCGTGCTTCAACTTGCGTCTCTAAATGACAGACAGCATAGAACCGCCTTTTTCCTTCAAGTTCTGACACAACGATTATATGAAATATTAACCTTTCCACCCACTGAATTTCTATTGAAATCCCAAGTGTTTACTTGAGTGAGCGTTGTGACCACCACTTGTTCTATCCTCGCAAGTGTTATGCTCTGTATTGGCTGCCCGACTTATTGCTTCAAGTGGCAATTAAGACACCGCAGGTCGTTCATCGTTCTGTGTTATCTAGATGGACTCTTAACAGGCGCAAAGTGGCCGAGGTGTATCCCTTGAAAATGCAAAAAATTGGGAGCATGGGAAGATTTGCTGCAGATTTTGAGACGCATTACGCAAAACTGTCTCGCGAATTCACCCTTCGGTGCTCAGTGAGGTCGCAGGTGCTGGTGTCACCGTCAAATGTCCACGTCATTTCTAGGCACAGAAAAATCCAGGTCACCGTCAGTAGTAAGTTCGGACTAATTTGAAATAATTTTTAAGAGGACATTTTTCCCGAAAAATATCATTTATGCATCTGGTGATTGTAGTGAATATTGTGTGCATTCCTCTCCTGAAGTGAGCCAGGGGAATAAAAGTTAGCATGTAACTCGTTAGTGACACTGTCAAAATTTTACTGAACGTGTTAACAAATTGAGTCTCATCACCAGTGAAGTAGAGTAGCACTGACGACAGGGTGAGAGTGACAAAGTCAGCACTTTCTTCCAGATCAATCCTGCCTGTTTAGTTACTTGAGTGGCAACTCCTATTCTCAGGCAACTAACTGCAATTAGTGCTTTACTAGCACGAAAGATGTTTGAAGAAAGGCGTGCGATCCTGCACATTCAAGTAGTCTGTTTAAAACAATGGAATGGAGAACGTCATTGGAGGTGCATGCTTGAGTGCTCGCTTTCATGCTCTGACGCCCGACCATTGAGAATCTCGGCCTCTTCGAGACTTGCACACTTCCTAATGCTGTGGAGGGCCGTTGCACATCCTCCTCCATTAATGGCATAACAAACTTGCATTTCCTACCCAGCTAGTTGAGTGCAGGCTCTATGCAGTTAGATCGGATTCATTCATTAACTTTCAGCTGCCATTCCCTTGCTCTACGCTTATTTGTTTTGTAGAGGAGTCTTCCCCACAAATTAATCGTCATTTTATTCTAACATTGGAAAGGGCGCGCAATTCCTCTGAGCTATTTCAAATCAAGGAGCATTTCGAAGTTCAGAACGAGGCTTGGCCAAATGAATTGTACGAGGCACCGCCTTCTCAAAATGCTATTGAAACAAGCGATTTTGGTTTGGAATTCAGCGTAAGACAACTTTCCTTCTGACAAAGCATACTTTACAAGCCACATTTCGGTGTTTTTTTTCGAAGAAATTTTCTTCAAATTAATGGTAAATTTACTGCCTCGCATGTTGATAGGCAAAGACATTGTTCATCATGTAACAATAATGTATCCACAAAAGCTCAAATAAGTGCAACTTCCTCCTACCAGAAGGTGAGTACTTTGCTGTCTCCTCACAAAGGAGCCAGCAGCTCTGCACTGAGAGAAAGGGCAGAGCAATGCTGATGCCTGTGCAAACAACAAATCACAGAATAAGCACGCAGTTTTAGTAGCATTTCATTGTTTTCCAGTCAGGAACTCCTTGAAAGCGGCTTCTTTGATATAAAACTTCCAATTTATCTGGCTGCTTAAGCATGATGAGTCCCATGCGGTCCTTCATTCTCGTCTTGTCAGCCAGCACTATGGAGACTGCAAAATTGGCGTGAGCACCGACAGCCAATGCAATTTTGTCATTCTCCATGGATTTGACTACCCGAAGGCGATGCTTTTTTAACCACTTAATCTGGTATTCAAGCTGTTAAAATTCAAAGGTGTTTTGCCTAGGACAAGGCAACCATAAGTGGAGGGTGGGGTAAACTAGCCCTGGTACAGGCGCAAGCACAAATTACCGGAAGTCGATTGTGAGTAAAGGAGAGGAGGACGAAATACCACCAGCATGGAGATGAAAGACCAAGGAACAAGTTGCACCTGTTGAAACACCTCCGACACAACGCTAGTCATTCAAATATGGGATGATAGAAAGCTGTCTTGAAAATGAAACTCAAGGAACTTTCCTGAGCTTTGATTAAGCATGAGATTCTTTTTAAATATGTTTAAGAATCTACCCGATGACTTATTGGGCTAGAGGGGAAGAGGTTAAAACATTTGCGAAGGATTTTCCACATCAAAATCCACGAGGAGATGTGGAGTTTCTGTCTCAGTGCTTTGAGCTTCTTTTGAATGTGTTGTCGGCATGTAGGCGGGCTGGAGGAACCGGTCTCCCGTCCCGTAGGCAACACGTCCTTCCAAGCGGAGGTACACACAGCCAAATTTTGAACGCTTCTAAGGCCAAACCGAGGAGCCAACACATCGTAATAGATGCAGTTAATTTTTGCTTAAAATGAGACGTCTTTGTCCAGACAAATTCCTTTGTCAGATTTGGAAAATGTTTGGTACGAGAAGTCGTCGTCAAGGCACCCTGCTTCAAAATTAGTTTGGTCGTTGTACACCTCCTGTTGTTTCATTTCCTCGCATTCGATTAGATGTGTGATTTCGCGCTTTCAAGAGGTTTCTTAACCACTCCATCCAGTGTAGGCGTGTGAACGCATCATCCACCCCATCCGACTGGCAAGTGGGCGTTTTTGTGGAGAATGGCAGCACAGTTTGGTGTGAAATGGGCACATGGAAAAAATTTACTTTGCCGTGGACGGCGCTATTGCGAATTACACCGATTTCCAGTGAACGCCGAGCCTTTTTGTACTCTCGGAGCCGTAGTGAACCACAAAATTGGAACGGCACCGCCTTCTGTTCCTCACAACTCAGTGAAATACTTTTACTACGATGTTGTATTAAGGATCTGCTGGAGACAAGCACCTTTTTCATTTTCAATCAAGGTTGGTCTTTCCTCCCTTTTCATCCTTCTGTAAACAGACTTTCAAGAACAATGTGCTCCCCACGTTTTTTGATGCAACTTATTCTGGTCGATCGCATTGTATGTTTTAGCAATCCTAATCATTTGTCATGATCGGTGGGTAACAACCAGTCGCCAAATTACCAATGATAACTTTGGCAGCATCTAATCACTTCCGACTAGGGTGGGAAAAAAATCGCATACACTATTTCATGTGATTCAGTAAAGATATTAGAAAATGAGCAGAAAGGAATTTCCCCGCCTGTTTGTGTCTCCTCTTGCAGAATCAAATTTTGCGATGGCTAAAGCGAGAGGATCACAATTTGTGGATGGTGGGTTAAAGAACCTCATGTTACTCATCATTCCACTAACAATCTCCGTCTTAGCGGCATTGGCAGTGCTTCTCAAAAGACGACGCAGGGACCGATTTGACGGCATGGAATTTCCGCCAATTCAACTTCGCACCACAATCGCCAGCAATTTGAACGATTCAATGTCTGGGGAGGGTGATGGTACGTGCGCTTTCAGCGTTGCACTACGTAACAATGCGATGGCACAAAGAAAGGGGCAAAAAGTAACGGCAAGTAATGTTTTGTTTACCCTTTCAGATACAATAAAAGCCACGACACAAAAGACAGGCTCTGCATTAAGATTGCTCCCCAAGTTTGAGATCAGACCTGAATTTGGGGTAAGTTATGTCAAGAAAGGGGTTTGATTTATTCAATTAATTTTTTTCACGAAAATCCAGAGGAAGTCAGAGCTAGAAATGTCCTATCTTCCTCGATGAATTCCAAATTATTGTCCACTCATACGCGATTATTAAACTCACTTTGTATAAGGTGTGAAAGGGCTTTGACTCCTTACCTGACACCCTTCTCCCCATTCAGCCAACAGCGTCAGGACTGGTCCAGCTTGAAGTGACTCATCTGGCGATTGCTGCTCCTTTAAGTCGTCCACCTGTATGAACAGGTTACCCTAACTGGGAATGCGTGTCTTTCGTAATTGCGGCGAGTGAGGTGTCGGAGATGCTGAGAAAGGTGATCTCCATCCAATGTCTGAAGATGCACGTCTAAGACTAGTCGTCAATCTGCAAAATTCCTCTTTCAATATTTTTTTATTTGATTTAGATTTTAAACGACAAACGTAGACCTCTCTTTGCTGAAAGTCTATGAGAGCCACGTCTATGCCAGGGTGATAATAATTCTTTTCCTACTATTATTTAAAGGAAGTGTGTAAGTTAAACGACTTCAAATCCGCTAATATGGAACACCTTTGTACCGAAACTGCAAGGATTGACAAAATTGCCGAATAAATTCTTACAGCCTCTTGGAGTACTTAATCACTCAAGGAAATTACCAACACAATCTGACCCTCTTTCTCAAGGAGACAAAAAACGTGGTGGACATTTTGCCTCCTAACCATGATACCTTTGTCTCCATCTCACTGCTGGTTCACAATTACCCATTCTGCTCCATACACAAATGCTTAATGGTGGTGTCAAGGAGAGGTGGAGAAGCGTCATCGATAGGAGAGGAGGAACCTCCCTCTCACCCACTTCTAAAAGCAGCTCTCCTTGGGCTACCCTGTAAGAATACGACTTCCGCCTTCATCTTGACTGGTTCTTAAGAAGCCTTGCCTCTGTAGAGAGTTGAAGAATTTCAGCCTTAGCTGTTATTTAAGCTTTATCTGAAAATCCACATTTAACAGTTGCGTCTGTAGTTTCTCACACAAACGAGCAACGGACAGGCGAGATTCGCCAGATTAGTAGCCTTCGTTGAAGCGTTCGTGGTATTCTTTGGACCGCTAGGTTAGACTTACTGCACTCATTGACGGTAAGCAACCCTTTGTGATTCGAGGGCCTACCAGCGGATAAACTATCACCAAAATCGAATCCTGCAAAGTACTTTCCAGTCGTACGTCTTACGAGTCCTCTTTCTTCAAATACTATACACCAGGAACCTGCCCAGAGCCAGATTAAATGGCTGGTTCGCAAATCAGACTAATTAGAACCGCATTTTCCGATTTCAATCAACAGCTCACGTATGGGATTCAGAAGTGAAAAGAAATGAAATGATGCAAATCCATAGTTTGTGCTTTAACTTAAATGATTTCATGAACTTTTAACGGTCCACAAACTAGAGGCAAGTTGTCATAGGCGCTAAAGGCTGCCTCAGATCTAATAATTGAACGAATTAAGACAAAACAATTATTGCTACTTGAAGGGGGTGAGTAGAGACGTTTGAAAATTGTAAACGCAAACAAGTTATGATTGACAATATGCCCATGTCTCCCAAGCCCCAGCCTAACCATCATGCGTACCGGGGAAAAAACTTGAAACATCTCGGGGTTTCGCTCCTTACTACGACGACCAGTGAATTCAGAGTCGGAAACACTCTAGTTCCTTGCCGTTACCGCACTTACGTGAGACCTAAGTACTTCGAGACTGCCTCCTTTACCCTAAACGAAATTTAGAAAGACTTCATTCAACGCCACAAAAGGTACCAGTACTTCGTATTCTAATAAATTTTTCATCGAATTCAAGGTAGTGAACCACAGAGGCGAAATTTAAAAGTATATATTTAGATTCCCCTTGTAAAATACAAAGCCAGTGACTACTTACAATAACGATCTGACTTCATTTTTTCACGTCTAAAAAAAGAACATAACCAACTAAGCAGACAAGTTATGAAAACAGCAGAGTTGATATAACTTGAAGATTGCTTTAGCATATGTGGGAGAAAATAAACCTCTGTTAATTCTAGCTACTAACACAGGAAATGACTCACCGGTCCAACATGCATTCATGGAGGTTTCCAACACGCTTTGCATCCTTCAAGGCTACGGTATCTTCACGGGTTAAACGAATCTTCTTATCTTGCCAGCTTTGGAATTTGCGCCTTTAGCATAAACGAAAAAGACGAATTACTTGATTCTGTACGTTTATATTAGGTAGTCGCCACGCTTTGCTTGGACTACAGTTCCGCGAAACAAATGCTAACGTCTTGGCTGCCCTTTAAGCAGGTACACGAAGATTGGCAAACATTATGAGATGAAAACGCTCTGACTTATACAAACGGTCGAACAAAGCTCTTCACACCTTCATAGGAGTCCCAAAAGGGACAAAGATTGGGGAATAGCTGCAAAACATCATGATGAAGACCAAACTCCTTTATGTTAATATTTGATTAACCTTGTAAAAAGGAAGGTTGCTACACAGCCAAGGATTTGAGATTTTACAATGTTATGCGGGAGATTCGAATGAGTATTCGAGATATAGATAAGAAAAAGCATTATGAGACCTTAGAACAAAGAATTTGAATCTGGAGGAGGGGAGGGTAATACGCCAGCTTATGAACCTTGTTCTTGGCATTTGACTGGCCAACTCAAAATGACCATTCATGATCCCAGTGGAAATTGGTGCCATTGAAACAGCAACTTTCAGAAGCGGAAACGGTTCGCTGCCGAAATTTCGAAAACAATGCAAGAAAAGCGACTCTGGCTTACACATAGAGGTACTCAGCCTTCTTGGTCCCATGCCTTTCCTCTTCAGGTAGGTCGTTAAGTGGATTGTGTGTCAAATCCTTGTTGGAGCGGATCTAAAATGTCACCAGAGAGGAATTGGACGCGGCTTTAAGAATACAGAAAGAACGAATACACAAACACTCAGCCTACCACAAGCATTTCGGTTGGTCCGGCCTTCTGTGCTCGGCAAATAGCCCTGTCGGAATCGCCGTCGACAGAGACAAAGCAGTTGTTGAAGCCCAGAAGCGCAGCCTTACCATCTTGGAAGACTGGCTCAAATTGTTCCCGTGGACCGATGGCGTCCGCTGCTGCTGTGATGAGATTCTGCACGCTTGTATCAGCTGTCATATACTTGTCGTAACTGGGAATAGCGGAAAATGTAAGACTACAACTCGATGTTTCCATTATTAGAAGTTAAGAAACTTCCATTGAAGTTCAGGTGCGATAGAGCAAACGAGCCCTGAAACGGTTAAGGTGAAGAATAACTACATCAACCAATCACCCCACGAAAACTTTCAATTTCTATTGATAGTGGAGGCAAAGACATTCCTGCACTCTAACATAAGGACAGGACAGTTTTGAAATTCACATTTTCAATGGGGACCGAACGTAAATCCCAGGGATCAAATGGGGGAAGCACAAATAAAATTGGAAATCAATATCCTTAGAAAACCTGCGTGAATTCGTCTATCCAAATAGTAGCTGGAGAGGCTTCATATTTATGCCTATTTCGATTGTGAATGAAGAGCAAAGCAATAGCGAGCATAAACGCTGCAATTCATTCAACAAAGAGCTAACTTGTGATTCCTAAAGCCACAAAAAGGAATCGAAATAAGATATTTAAAGTTGGGAACAGAATGTTCCAACACATTTTGAAATTGACAAAATTAAGTACCTAAACCCAACGAAGTAAAACCCAATTATTGGGACATTCAAAAAACGACTGAGGACAATTCCTCCAATTAAACCCTTTTCTGTCCATTGACGAAAGGTGTTCCGTACCGACCCATAAATAACGCTTTCTAAGATAAGGAGCTGAAATGTGTGCAACCGTAACTAATGTTTTCACAAATGCTACAAAGCAAATTCGGAACATAAAGTGCAGCTGATAAAAAAGAAACACAAGGAAACAACTTGACTCGATTTCTATGATAAGAATTTCTATCTCCCACCCTAGTAGTAAATAAAAAACCGTCCGGAAAAAAGAAAGCAAAAATCAGTTCAGCTCCCCTCTTCTCCATCGAATCTTCCTAAGAACATTTCCATAAAAATCTGTAGATAAAAGGCCTGTGTCAAACGATGAAACAAGAGAGCCTGCTAAAACTGATGGTGTGAAATCTACCAAATGTTCCCCTCTAGATACAGGTATAAAAATAGCAACAAACGCACCCAGTCTTGAAAGCAACTTTTGTGTCAGAAACTTTAACGGCAGTGAAAATTTCCTCAGGGTCAGGTGGTTCACCCTCCCGGCGTGGGGGTCCGAGGTTGATGAATCCATCATCAGATGCAGAGAGGTAATACGCAGGCGGTATGGGAAGGAGTTGGTCGGAGGAAGAAGAGGAGCATTCCTGAACTGGAGCTAGGCCTGTCATCTGAATGGCCACCGGACCAATTATGTCGGCAAATTTGGAGATCTCCCACCAACCACCATGAGCTATAAGATCTTCACTGAAGGCATTTCGAATAGCTTTCGCTGTATGCGTTGAGCTAGTGTCAGCAGACTTTCGCTTCCGCTTCTTAGGCTTGTCTTCATGGCCTTTTAGTTTTAATTTGCCAGACTTGACAAGGGCGTAAGCGTCCATGACAACAGTAGCCAAATACTGTGCATATAAGAGCCGACCTTATTTATACAATTGTATGAAAGAAAACTAAAAATTGTTGCAAGACAGTGGCAACCACATGCACAACAAGACAAATAAGCCGATTTCGAGTGGTTCGCAGAAGTGAAGAACAGTTAAAACGAAAGTGATAAGGACAATGCTCATTATGCAAAGTTGTAGCACAAAGTAAATATGTGATGAATCTCTTCTTTTTTGCTTTGCTTTTAGAGGGTGGGCATTAGTGTTGCATGCCCATGTTAATACAAATGATTTAAACGCGGTTGCGATTTGCAGCTTTAGTTTTAAAAGGAACTGGTAAGAGAGGAAGACGTAGCGTCCCAAGGCTTCCATCTAGGTAGAAGAAAAGATTGCTTTGGACAGAATACGTGTTTTATAGGGAGGTAGGATGGGATGGGGTCTTGGCATGGCCCAGAGGCCAAACCTCACGAACAAGGGTTAGACGAATGCTAAAGTGACCGTTAAGCATCAAGCGGTCACATCAACGTCACATCGTTGTAAGGTCCTGAGGTTACCTGTTTGGTAGAAAGAGAAGACAGTAAATGGGGTCAAATAACTACAAAATAAATGCCGAATCAATTGGTAGCTATACAAATAGTCAAATAACTAATTTTTTATTATGTTTGTGTGACTATCTGATTTTTGGCCTATGACCAAGCCAAAATCCAATCCATTCTTCTCCTGAAATGCTCGTATTCAGCACAAGTTAATACCTTCTTCTACCTCATGAAAGTCTTGGGACGCTGCAAATCAGACGTTACAACCTTGTGCTGGAACTTTAATTGGAGCTCCCATTATATATTTAATTTTGCCGGCCGAAGATGCTCTAAGCTCCTGTAAGTAGATATTAGCCACTTTTCTGTCTCATTTTTAACTTTCTAAGTGCAATGTTCTAGAATTCTCTATTAGGTGGGAAAAGGCAATAAGTGGGATTAAATGCCCGTACTCAGAGGGAAAAGAAGCTTTTAGGCTTTAAATTGGCTCGAAATTCAGGTCACGTAGCCCAGAGCAGGATGAGTACAAGTGACTACTAGTCATACGGGTAGTTAATCGTACCCGGATGGGCATTCGAAGGTATAGCATGAAGAGTGACTTGTATTTTAAATAATTTGGTAGATTTGGGACTATGGCACGAGTTCATGCCCATCCCACTCTCAGAAGCAAGATGGCAGCCCAAACGACGGCCATTCATATAGGTAGTTAAGAAAACAAAGTTAAACACAGCAGTGTAACACTCAGTTCATGCAAACGCATGTGCGATTGGCAGGCACTTTCGTAGTTGTCTTGTCTCTGTGGGCATGATCTGGCCCTTATTCGTGATAGTATGTATTCAACCCGACTTAATGTCTTCCATTATTTAATGGGAGGGATTGAGACGCTTCACTGGTGGCAGCGGAAAGCAAATCCGACCTGCCATAAATCATATTCCGATGCACGCCGTTTGTGGCATACTTTCGCTGAAATCTTCACAACGTTAGGATTGGAAACGACGTCTGCATCTGGTCCTACCTCGATTTCGTGTCGCGCAGCCAGGCAGATAACAACTGTGGTACCCATATGAACCATCTTGAGAAGTATTATTTAGGGTTTCCCTTTACTAAACTCACGCATAGATGTCAATGATTACACTGTGTCCAAATCTTTTTTGTTCCTTGCTAAACGCCTGTTATATGTCATCGCACCATTTAGTCTGAGACGTGATTGATGGTAAACATCTAATCCTCTCTCTACAATTCTTGCCCTAGGACTGGAAACAAGTCCAGGTCCAATTGAAACTGCTGAGGAGGTTAAGTAAAATTTCTCTGTCTCATGGTATCTGATGTCTGGGACAGATGACAAGCAAGCGGACCCTCGTAGCACCAGATGTATTGTGATGGCTAGTACATGAGATGTACCACGGACATCGATCAAAAGAGGAGAGAGACAATGTAACGCGTTGTTCAAATGATCACCGTGTGACTGGAGGGCGCCTTTATGGTTATCTTGCCCTTGCATATGTGAGCTGGCCTTTGGAATGAGCCATAGATTACTATCCTTATCTCCTCGTGCATGTGTATTCGACCTTCTTAAGTCCTTATTCTACCTATTCAGAAGTCTTGATGCATTACAGGCATCATGTCTTCCACCGTTATGAAGGATGGATTACTATTTTAAGGATGGTTGGTTTGTCACAACTTCTAAAGGCTTAGTTGAAAGATGCGTATGGGATACATTTAATAAATATAAATTCATGGTCCAGAAGCCGCTGTTAAACTCATGAGAGCGGCAAGCGTAAAACATATTTTGATGACAATTTAAAGCTCCATTCAATACCTTTACGTTTACTCCACTTGTCCGGCTGTCGCTTTGGTGTTCATTTTGCCTTTTCATCTGTGGGCTGGTCTTCGGACCGATCCAGGGCCACCTTCTCCTCAAACACATATTTTCTGTCCAACTTGATGCCTTCACCTATCAGAGATAAGTCTCGAAATGCTAAAACCTTAACAAGCATCGTGTACGCGCTATTCTGTCGAAACCTTGACTGACCATCAGCCTAGCTTAAATTTATCGTGCTTAGCGGTATAACAACTTTTGCTGAACTTTACGCAGTAAGTTTCAGGTAAGCAATACCGAAGTGAATTAATGTCATTTATATTTTTAAGCTTTTGCTCTATTGATCTATCTTTAATATAATTCTTGCTAATTTTCAAATGATGGAAATTAGTGTTGTGATTGGTTAACACCAATGTGCTAGGACAACGCATTTGGCAATTGTCTGGTGTTTGTTGACTACCGCTGATAGGGATCGCCTCGAGTCTAGTGGGATTGACGACAGCAATGTTTAAGTGCTTGCCCTTTATAAAAGGATGCGGAACACAGATTGATTCAATCGAAAAAAGTCATGCTAGTCTGACTTCAGTCCCTGACGACGTTCTCAGAAGCTATAGAACGCTAGAGGAATGCAAACTCGATGCAAATCAGATCAAAGAGCTGCCAAACGTATGTTTATGTCTGTGTACATAACTGTTACAATAATTCAGGCGTTTTTCCGTCTAGAAAAAATACGGATCCTCTCCGTTAGTGATAATGAACTTACCCGTATTCCTCCGGGAATTGGGAATTTTTCGTATCTTGTGGAACTCGATATTAGTCGGAATGGTATGTTTGGTACGCTCCTCTTAATGCTTGTTGCAGACATCAGTGAACTTCCAACTAGCTTGAGGCTCTGTGACTCGCTACAAATTCTCGATGCAAGCAACAATGCCTTGAAAATGTAATCGCCATGCTTGTGATTCCATCCATCGTCGCGTTAATGTGTTTTCACCTTATTGTTAATTTATTTTTGTTATTTTCCTCGCATGATTGCTTGAGCTTGTCTATACTGCTCTTCTAGGTTGCCAGAGGGGTTCTCTCAACTTCGGAGTCTTCGTGTCCTAAGTTTGAACGATGTATCACTATATGAACTGCCTGCCGACTTTGGGGGGTTTGTCATTTAATTTTGAGTTTTTATTACCGAATGAATACCTCCATAGATTGAAAAAGTTACAAAAGCTGGAACTTCGGGATAACTATTTGAACAGCCTTCCAGTTACGTTTGGTGAACTCTCTAGCTTGGAGTTCCTCGATCTTGGTGGAAATGATTTTGTCACATTGGTACTGTTGAATCAGCTGTTGGTTCGCTTATTCTGCTTTCGCTTAATTTTTTCCCTTTTTTCAGCCATCTTCCATTGGGTCTCTCCAAAACCTTCTCGAATTATGGCTTGACGACAATCAGATGACATCACTCCCTGATGTATGTTTTTCACTTCTCATATCATTTTGCCAGAAACAATGTTTGCAGCATTCCAATACGGCTAACAAAACTTTTAGTAGCTGACTGTTCTAATACCCTGACCTTCAGTCTAAATCGCGAATATTTTAATTGATTGCGGAATCTATTGTTTCAATTTACTTACAATTTTCATTACTTTGTAATCGCCATGGCTTCGTAATAAGTTTTAACATTTACGCATTATTCACAGTTCGTCTTGGTACCTTCTCCCATGTCCTGAGCCTTATTTCAATTCGTGATAAGTTGTCAATACAAAGGCTATTTTTAAAAGTATAGGTTTAAAGCAACGTATAAGGCATAAGAGTATTCGTCGGACATAGGCACAATTTGTTCTTCTGCTGGTTACTGGGTGGATATCTCTCTCTTCTCAATTTCTAGGAAATTGGAAATCTGCATGCACTGCAACAGATGGATGTTTCAGAGAATCGTCTCACTTCCCTTCCGTCCACAATTGCTGGGTTGACCTCTCTCTCTGACCTTAACTTAACCCAGAACTTTCTTGACTGCCTCCCCGATGAAATTGGCCAGTTGGGCAGCTTGAGTGTCTTCAAATTGAATCGAAATCAACTGGTTGACTTGACACCAGCCATCGGAAGGTAAGTTTTAGTCTACTAGTGCATACCTCTTCTGGTGCAAAGATTACAATACAAATTTTGCTTTAAACATAGCCTGGATATCGGTTCCATTGGGTCAGATCTTGGATGAAAAAGTCTTTTTATGCTTAAAACCGATTTTGAGACTTGAGATTCTCTGTCGAATATGAGGCTTTATGTATCTATTTTAAGCATCTCTTTGGCTCACTTCTCTGCTTTATAGGTGTCAGAACCTTTTGGAGTTCTATTTGACGGAAAACTATCTGTCGGTATGCTATTTTTTTGCTTTTTGTTTACCTGGTCTTATATATCTAGGCTTTACCGAATACGATTGGTAATTTGACAAAAATGTTCCATTTCAACGTTACCAAGAATCAGCTCGTAGCACTACCTCCTGAGGTGAAGTTTTAATTGTTCTACAAGTCTTGGATTGTGATTAAATGTTTCTTACCAGAAATTTTTTTGTTACAGATTGGGAAGTGTGTGGCACTACAAATCCTCTCCCTTCGTGATAATAATCTCCGTCGAATACCCTCTGAAATTGGTAATCTTACCCAACTTCATGTTCTCGATCTGGCAGGCAATCGGTGAGACGGGCGATCCTATTTTGTTTTGCCATATTTTAAGCAGGTGACAGTAGCCTCTCGTTGGTTTCACGCTGCAATTAGTCACTTTTATGCAGAAAAGTCATCTCTCGGTGGTCTGAGCATTTCGTAATGTTCGCATGTGTTGGAGGGTGTGTGATCGTGCCTGCTAATGGGACTTGATTTGCAATTCGTATTAGCTTTTGGTTCCCTTACATAGGATAAGCCCTGTATTGACCTACGTGCTTTTGGCTGCATCATTTTACCGGTCGATCACATTGAGGTGGCTTTATTAACATTCCATAAACTCCTCGTACGCTTGACCGATAAAAATCCATGCCAATTATGGTGCTTGACCTTTGTTGTAGAATTTCAAAGTGGCATGAGCTCTCATCAGCTCTTTTTGCTTCGTTCAAGTACCATTTTGGAAACGATCTTATTCCTAACTTAGATATGTTCTTTGAAGAAGCCATAGGATAGAAACAGTGGTTGCACCATTACTAATTTCTCTCTTGATATTTTCCCAAGTATTGTATGCACTAAGAGCCCGATCATTCGTATGTTGACCCTAATCTGTTACTTTAGTTGAGGTAAATACTAATTATCTTTCCGCTTGAAATGAGTTGACTTTTCGTACATCTTAGTGTCTTGCCACTTACGTTAAATGCTGTTTCCCTTCAATGCAGTTGATGGGATCAACTTTGGATTTCATCTTGTGCCACTGGCGAATATTATGCTAGATGCCTTAGAGTTACGTATCGCCTTTATGCACCGTTTTCACATGCCTGGTTTCAGAGAGCTCTAAGTAAAATAGCATCTTTGGAATATTGCCCTTTACCCAGTTTTCTCACTTTCTCTCTCCAGACTTGATCGACTTCCAGTTTCACTGACATCATGCCCCCTCAAGGCCCTCTGGTTAGTTCAGAGTCAGGCCCAGCCAATTTCACTTCAACGCGCTTTGGACGAGAAAAGCGGCGAGGAATATCTTACTTGTTACCTTCTTCCGCAGGAAGCTGACGATAGTAAGTCATATTTAGCTCTTTGCGCGGTCCTCGATTTGCATTGTTAAATATTTAATAACTTGACACCTAGCGCTATGTAAGTGTGGAATCAGACATTCTCTTGACCTCTTTGATGTCTCTGACTTCTAAAATTTCGAGTTTTTTGAATTCTACAAGACCCTTTTTATGCTTAGAAATTGGACAAGCAGTATTTAAGGAAAATGCTACAATCCTAGATGATGCTGACCTCATCGTAGATTAGATTTCATATACTAATATCCGACTGTAGGCTTTTGAAGTCTTTATTGGCATTGTACAATTTACTTCTCAAGAACCGGTTAGTCGTAATTTTCCAGAATTCTCAGTTCTCGGCAGTTTGGCAGGTATCATGCAGATCTACTTCAACTTCAACGAAGTGGTTTTCGTCAGTGGCGGTTCTTATTTTTGAAGTTAGAAGCCGTTAAATGTTTGAATTACAAATCCGTGTCAGCTCTTTTACTTGCCTTGCTCATTCGCCATCTTCTCCTTCCTGTTCTTTGCGGTGGTTGGCTCTTTCCTTCGCTTTTAATGTCTTCACATGAATCACTACTTCGACTGTTGAAGTCTTGGCTGATTTTGATATAATCCTCATAATTATTGCGCGCCAATGAAAGCACGAACACACTTGCTTTTATTTTTTATTAAGGTCTCTGTAGAAGCATTCACTCGTGCTGTTGTTTCGGCCTTTATTTGGTACTTCCATCCTCAAATCATACGTGTTTTGGTCTCGGAACTCCGTCGTAATACACTCTTGGTCTGAGATCACCTTAACTTGATTGGAATTGGCAAATCAGGGAAATTTGGGCTTGCAACACTGGTATTCATGGTTTAGTTAATTGAAAAAGGCAGTTTGTCAATTGGAGAGTTTCTTATCTGGGGTGTCTCATAGACTTGGGCAATTTTTTTCAGCAACTAAACATATTTTGCTGAACTTAAATCACGAAATCATTTTGGCGCATCAATTGATGCTACTTCCTATCACAGAAAACGCATTGTGAACGGGGACACAATTGCCTGCTTTATCGTTTGTGTTTTTTGAAAGGAAATCACTAACTGTCATCCGCGATTAAGTCTTTTTGTGCACTTTAGGTGAGGCCACAAAATCTTTTGGTTTTTGCTTAAAACCATGGAAGAGTTGTTGATGAAGAAAGCTTGTGGCTTAGATACTGGAAGAGAACATTGGAAGTCTAGATGCCTTAGCAATTGCGCAAACCAGCCGATAACACCCGGATAGTTGGCCTTATCTGCTTATTCCTATCTCCATATTCTTTGACTGCTGTGTTAGGCCATGCGATAAACCAAGGTCGAAAAACCCAGGGATGATTCGCAAGCCTTCAAAGCTTTGCAAAACACCAAAAACAATAGTTTAGATACAAATAGTCAGACTCCGTTAGGACCTGTTATTGCAGCCTAGTCTTTTTCGGAACAGCGAGTCGGATTTTGTATGCAAATGCACTCCTTCAGTCGCTGTTTGGTGCATAAATGGAGAGGTAAGCATATAAAAATGCATTCAGCAGAGGTTATTGTTAAAGATGATGGAGACTAATCATGAAAATTGTCAGCAAGACGTAGGACTTTAGGTTCTGCGATAACAGAAGATCAGATAAATGTAGCCTTGATGGAAAGTGTTGAAAGGGTTTTAATTGAGTTATGGACGCTAACGGAAACGGCAGCATCCATTATCGTTATATTTGGTCCGACGAGAAAGGAAGGTGACAGGATTGCTGGCGAACACGAGGGACAGTGGAGATTTCGGAAATTTTATTAAGGGTAAAAAATTAGTACTCTCGCCACGAACAACTGATCCGATAATCGTAGAGTTGTAGGGCATTAATGTGCTAGTTGTCAATCAAAAGTATCAAGATTTTGTGGGCAAAAAAAGAGTGGATGGACCCTTTTATTTAAAATCCTTACATAGTTATTTGGACCTAATCTCCTCCTCATCAATAGATTTAATTTCTTCCCATAAACTGTAACGAGTGTTGTCGGTCTCGCGACGTGACAGGAACTTTTGCTGTTTGTTACCGTCTGTATTGGAATGCTTGTCTCTTATCGTGGAATCCCTTTTCTTCACAAACAAACAGAACAATGCACCATACCTAAATACGTGCACCCTTTTTTTGTTTCAAAAGATGTTTGCCGTAACGGACTGCCTTCGTCTAACGCCTCTAGTCCAGGCGCAACGTCGAATCAGTTCAAGAAGGAACTGGAATCTACAAATGGAACCCTTCTACCTACTACACAAATCCCCTCTGGAACCTCCTCTATCATTAATTTGGAGGACGAAAAGGAGGTGGGTGTGGAGCGGGAGGAGGTAGGTTTTTGAAGTAACTTAAGTCTTTGTGAAAAAATGTTGATCCTATCACTAGTTTCTATTTTTAGGACGAGACAATACCAGAGGCAACTTCGGCGTCCAATAGAGTGCGATTTACCGCTGAGGAAGGCGTCACCAAGGCCGCCAATGATACATCGGTGCCTTTAATGCCACATCTCACTTCATCCCTCTTCATCGAATCGGCATCAATAACATCTCCTTTTTTCAGGTTCGCGAGTACCCTAAGACGAGACACCCGATGCACCTGAAGAAGGCCACATTGGACGGCGAACTCGGGCACAAAGTGGTAAGTGGTTTCCACAAAGCACACAGCTAACACGCAGCGACGAATGCAGTGGTTATGCTTGCACATAAAACAGTGACTCATGAAATGCTATTTGGTGGTCGCATGTGTGTGTATTTTTTTGCGGCGAAACAAGCCGTCACGGAAAGTTAAACAATCGCACAAGTGTATGCTTGCTCGCCCATGTGCACGCATGCACACCTGCCATTCTTGTGCCCTTTTGGAAGAGCGTTACGAGATGGTGTGTTAAATCTACCATTCCAACTCTGTGCTGCGGTTCAAGAGATTTAAATCAAGATTTGCTAGGTGCCTTTTATTTTTAGAAGGAAAGCTTTATGAAGCTAAGTGAATTCCGAATTCTCCTTAATGCATATTGTGCAAACGCCTCGCGATCTCATAACTTACATTGATTTTTGCTCGTTTTTATCGTCATTATACCTTTTAAAAGTGTAATTGTTACTGATGTAGGAAAGAATTTTAAGTGATTCCTTAACTTGAATTTCCTTCAGTCTGATCGGTTAGTCACATTTTGGAGGTACTTTTATTTTTGTGAATCTGTGTCAACAGAATTTAAAAGGTATTTTCAGCTAAAAATGATTTCGTTTCA